TTTTTTTTTTTTTTTTTTTTTTTTTTTTTTTTTTTTTTTGTCATGTGGTTTTGATGAAGTGGAAAAGATGATGGAGACAGTGAAGAGGAACACATCTGCACAGGAGCTCAGCACCCTAAAAACTGCCCAAGCAAACTGTCCCCTTAAGTCTCAAATACTGTTTTGTTTTTTTTTTTAAAGATGAGCTATGGGGGCTGATGAGATGGCTCAGTGGTCTAAAGCACCTACTTAGAACAAACTTAGCAAAGCACAGGGACCACGGTTCAATCCCCCAGCACTACATGCCAGCCAGCCCCGCCCCCTGGTGGGCTGAGTTGGCCACATACACACACACACACACACACACAAATAAATAAATAAAAAATTTTTAAAAAGATGAGCTATGGATAAAAGAAATAACTGAATAATATGACTTTCCATGTCAGATAATTATTGAATATAAACACATGCAGGTTGCTCTTTACTTGCATGTGTTTAATCCATTGAACAGTTTAGTGGTTGGGATATAGCTTAGAGCTTGGAACCTGAGGTTGTGAGTTCAACTCCTGGTGCCAAAAAAAAGAGGTAAATTTGCAAGAAGCCAATTTTTAAATCTGAAGTCAGGGTCTGTTGAGATGGCTCAGTGGTCTAAAGCACCTACTTAGAACAAGCTTAGCAAAGCACAGGGACTGTGGTTCAATCCCCCAGCACCATATGCTAGCCCGCCCCGCTCCCTGGTGGGCTGAGCTGGCCACACACACACACACACACACACACACAACACACATAAATAAATAAATCTGAAGTCATAGAAATGTTCTCAGTGGTTTATTGAAGGCTATATTATAATATGTTTTTTTATATCCAAAATGTGTTTATTGGGATGGCTTCCCACTCATCTTGATTGAGGGTACTGTTAGTGCTGCTTCCTCCTGAAGGAACATCCTTCTGTGAGCCTTGCTCTCCCTCCTGTAGGCTGGCACAGGACAGTGGAGCAGCCAACACACAGAACTACCATCTGTGCATGGCTAAAGACCGTGGTGATTTTATAGCATCCTGGGCACTTCATGTCCATGAAGTAGGAATTGGGGCTCTGCACCAGGCGCTTCTTCTTGTGCTTCCTCTCCTCCACCGGAGAGGGATGAAGGAGATCTTTTGCGAGAGGCATGTTCTCGTGGGGAGGTCATCAACCCCAGAAAGGCTATAATACGGTTTTAATCATTACATAAGATTTGCAGGTGTTAATCTAAAAGCGCTACTCTCGTTTGTTTAGAGTGAATGTCTCTTGAACTCAGGTATCTTTATTTTTCAAGTGGCACTATTAGAAGGTTTTTTGACACAATGTTGTGATCTAGGCCAATGTATTTAACTTCATTTATTTCCCACAGTCTCAAGAAATAACCAAAAATACAAACACATCTTATATTTGGAGAAAATTTTGAGAGCTGTCAACTTGCCAGAAATTTAAGGCCTTACTGAAGAATGAGGTGAAAGTCAGCCAGAAGAACAGGAGGGGACACTGCCTCCGCCCAGCAGAGGGAGGGACTCTCTGCTACCTGAGCCTCCACAGAGGCAATGCTGGGGTCAGGCTGGAGCTTTGAGGCCCTACAGTGTGTTTGAGGAACACAGTTTAGGGGAAAGTGATGTTGAAAAAGAGCAGCACTATTTAGAGTCAATGGTGGAATAGTTGTAAAATGAATTTAATGCAAATAATGCAATGCCCTGGAAAGAAACATTTCATTATGTTAAAATTATTTGAATGATAATTTAACACCAAAATGCAAGTTAATTTCAACAAACCTGAAAGGGAGCAGGAGACCAAAGATACACCAGAGAAAGGAATCCGAAGAGAGTAGACTCCAAAGCATCAAAGCAAATGCAAACCTCATGGCTCCTGGTTTTGTTAGTAGTACATGTTTGTCATACGTAATGATCATATTCATTGCAGGAAAGTTGTGCCTGTGCATACTATATTTTAATTCTTCTTTTTTCCCATTCCCCTTCTCTCCCTTCAATCCTTTTTCTCCTTGCCATTCACAAAAGCTTTGTTTTCATTTTTTCTTTCATTCTCTTGTAAAAATCCATTTTCTCTTCATCTCCTTCTCTCTGCTTTCTCCTGTTTTCCTTGCCATTGGAACATCTTCTTATTTCTCATATCTGTCCTCCATTTTGCTGCTTATTTACTCTTTGGGTTTCTGACATGAGAAAACCATATGATATTTAAATTGTGTGTCTGATTTATTTCACTTAAAATTATGGTCTTGAGGTGCTTCCATTTACTTTACAAAGTCTTGGGTTTTTCTTTCTTCATGGCAAAATAGTACTCCAAGGAAGGTAGAAACCACACTTTCTTCATCCTTTCTCCCTCTAGGCATCTCCCTAAAAGAGTTAAAGCATCACACTATAGTAATATATGCATCCCTGTGATTGCAGAAACACAATCTATGATAGCTGAATCTTGGAAACAATTCCTATGCCAGCAATGGACAAACCAGCTCTTCTTTGGAAAGCTAGAGCAACAGCTGCTGATTGGCCAAAAACAAAACCCAACATGCGTTGCTTTTAAAAGATGCACCAAAAATACAACACAGATAAATCTGAAAAATAATGAAACAGCACAACACAAAACTTCCAGAAGCACTCACTAGAAGGGAGTGAGAATACTTGCGATTGAGGAAAATAAGATCTGCATGAAAGCATGGACAGCTGGCTTCTATTTATGGAATTATAAAAGAATTAGAAGGCCTATTCTCAGTCTGTGATCATTTAGGTGGACTAGAAGAAAAGCCTATGAAGGACTTGGATTAGTAGGTTAAGGAAACACCAACTTGAAATGGGAAAAGACATATCTTTATTAAAGAAAAACAGGATGGGGGCTGGAGAGATGGCTCAGTGGTCTAAGGCACCTACTTGGAACAAGCTTGGCAAAGCATCAGGGACCGCGGTTCGATCCCCCAGCACCACATGCCAGCCAGCCCCGCCCCCTGGTGGGCTGAGCTGGCCACACACACACACACCACTCTCTCTCTCTCTCTCTAATAAATAAATTTAAAAAATTAAAAAAAAAAAAGAAAAACAGGATGAAAAATAATTAAGACAGAAACGTGTTGGAGACCAGAGAATGATACTCTCAAATAAATTTTTTTAACATGCTAAGCAATTTCTAGCATAAATTAAAAGGCTTTAAAACAGGCTCAGAATAGAGGTCCTCTAGCTATCTCTGGTTCCCCACTTCCTCATGCAGGAGCTATCTCTCTGCAAAGCTCGTTATCCACCTGAGGTCTGAACTCACCCAAGGAGAAACAAGTGCTTCTGTCCATTTCCTGAGCTTGCACCAGCACAAATCATATCACAGGAAGACAGGCAAGTGTGTAACATTGTGGACTACATCTCATTCCTCTATGGTATGTGGGTCCTCCAGAGTCATTTGCAATCTATTGTTCTAGGGGTCAAGATTACTTCAAACTTCTAAACCCTTGACAACCAATATTCATTCAAACTACTTCAAAGTATAGAAGAAAGATGAGAAGTTTTTCCATTTATGTAATTGCATAATTGGATACCAAACGCTGTTTAAAAATTTACAAAGAAAACAAAAAATACACATAGGTGCCAGGAAGATATTTCGGTGGTCTAAGAGCCTGCCAAGCAAGTGCAAGGACCAGGGTTTGATCTCCAGTACCACATGCCGTGCCGGCTGAGCTGGCCACTGAAACCAAGTATGGTGGTACACACCTATAATCACAGTGCTGAGGTGGCTGAGACAAGAGGGTCACTATGGGTTGGAGCTGTGTAGTGAGGCCCTGTACCAAATAAAGAAAGAAAGAAATGATTTTTTAAAATATGCAAAATATTTTTCTGTTGTAACACTCATAAAATACGATGGAGGGCTGGCAAGATAGCCCAGTGGACTAAGCGCCTTCTTAGGCAAGCACAGGGGCTGGAGTTCAATCCCTGGCACCACATGCCATGCTGGCCCCACCACCAGGTACACTGAGCCACTGATTGGGTCTGTGCATGGTGGTGCGCACCTGTAATTCCAGTGCTGAGGAGGCTGAAAACAGGAGGGTCACTGCAAGTTCCAGCTGCGTAGTGAGACCCTGCATAAAACAAAACAAACAAACAAGCAAAATGTACTTCAGAAGAGTACTACAACCTTGTTAGGGTTAGTACAAAAACAAATCAGTTTCACTCAGGATCATTAAAACTTTAAAATGTAACACAGGCCAATGATGAAGACATAGATATAGATCTTCATCATTGGCCTCTGTTTGTCTACATGTGAAGATCTCTATCTATACAGAAGCCAAATGTCATAAAGAAAATTAAAAGACAGAAAAACCTGAGAGAGTATTTTAAACTTTTTTTTTCAAAGTTTTATTGATAAACAGATAGCAATGAGACAGTTTCAAATCTAATCGGAAGTACAGTTTCAACAAATAATACACTGCATATATTCTTCTCAGTGGTTAATTGCTGTACAAGAAGTGGACTTGTGATCCTATTTACAAACACCATTAGAACAAATCCCTCCATTCATTA